TATTTGGATTCAATTTCTGCATCTTTTTCCACTTTTTTCCTTTTTAAGATTGAATATTTTTGTAATTTTATTTTATTTCCCCCAATTAAATTACTAATTATAAGCTCTGCATCTCTTAAAAAAAGTGGTTGCTATCAGTTTTATAGTATACTTTTTTAATGTATCATAGTCCACCTTCAAGTAATATTTGAAGAGACAACCTAGATAATAGAAGAAAATATTTAAACACCTTACATTTAATAAAGGGTTAATATCCAAAGTATATAAGAAACTCAAACAACTTAACAGCAAGAAAACAAATAATTTTGTTCTACAAATAGGCAATACCTGCCCATTGTTTAAAACTCAAAAGACAGAGAAGGATTTAGTGTGAAAACTTAGTCTCCCTCTAACTTCTATCTCCTGACTTCTAGTTCCCCTCCTTGGAGCCAGCCACTGTTAACATTTTCTTCCTTCCTTCTTTCCTTCCTACCTTCCTTCCTTCCTTCCTTCCTTCCTTCCTTCCTTCCTTCCTTCCTTCCTCTCTCTCTTTCTTTCCATATTTCCTCAGAGAAATTCGATGTGTATATAAGCATATGTATCATATTTTGTATATCATAAATATTGTTTTTCTTTTCCCCTCTCTCTTTTATATTCTATATATGCTTTTTATATGCTGCTGTTTTATTTTAAAAAAATCTTTGTTATTCTTCTGCATTATTTCATTTTTCACAGCTATATGCTATTTCATTGTATAGCTGCTTATTTAACTAGTCTCCTAGTGACAGACATTACAGTTATTGCCAAAGAGGTAGTAACAGGATGACTCAGGAAAAGACTTGCTGCCACAAAGAGAAGAAATAAAATTTCCCCTTGCGTCAGAAGAAACCAAGAGCAGAAAACATGAGAGCTTAGAAAATAGTGTGGGGCCTCCCTCCTGGACTCTTCTTTGTTGTCAAAGTTTGATAGGAGGAACAGATTCTTATTCAGTAATTCTGGTTGACAGGACTATGCTGGAGCCAGTTTAATCATTATGGCCTGTGCTATGAGTCCAGTTAAGTATTTTGACTATCACTTTTGCCTTCGGGAAGGTTTGTTGGCCTAAAAGCAGGAAAGTTTGTGTCTCTATGAGAAAGATGAGCAGAAATGTATATCTTTTATTGTCCTCTTCAGAACTTTATAAATATAGGGCTGACAGTTGGCATGGTGGTTAAGGGTGCTGGACTCTCACATGACCGATCACGGTTCAAGTCCCGGGCCTGGTGGCCTGCTATCTCACTTTTCCTCTCTCTCTCTCTCTCTGTCCCTCTCTGGTCAAATTAAAATAAATAATAAGTAAATAAAGATAAATAAAATAATTTTAAAAAGAACTTTATCAAAAAGAACCTTATCATAAATATTATGTATGAAAGCAAATATTTATTATGAGTAAATAAATTTTTAAAAAATTATGAATTTTTCAGGCTGGCCACTGACACAATAGTTAAGGGAACCAGGTCACACATTGTCAACCAGACCTGAAAGCTTGAAAAACAGGCTGGGTGCATGTGTGCAAGTCCTGGTAGGATGGAGAATCAGAGGAGAAGGGATCGTGGCATGACCGAGACTTTGGGGGCAGTGCTTTTTCCCATTCCTTTTCTCTGTCTCTCTGTTTCTTTGTAGTGAGCATTTGTACCCTCTTGTAAAAAAAAACAAAACAAAATTTAAAAGTTGGCAAATATAAATATCATAGAAACCAGAAAGCAATTTATTGTTTATATTAACTACTTGACATCCTAGACTGACTAGTTTTTGGTGCTGTATATTTAAAACTTCATTTCTCCTGTACTCACCACATATTTCCAGTGCTGGGTGCAGGAGGATATGTTTATATTGCAATTCGAGTTCCAGCCTGGAAACTTTGTGTCAGATCTCTGGGTGAGTCAGTGGGCGTTTGGAGTATTCCTGAAGTCGTTCCTTCATCAGAAGGGCTAGCAATAATTGAACTATGCACAGGAGTATAAATCATAGAAATATATCTCACTGAACCTCAGCTGACGTTTTTCCTGATTCTCAAAATGGGTAGTTTTTTTTTTTTCCAATTGTACTTGCTGTGATTTGAATGTGTCTCCCAAAATTCATATATTAAAATTTGACGAGCAGGACCAGCAGGTGGCATGGTGGTTGAGATGCTGGACACTCCCGCGTGGCTAACCACGGTTCGAGTCCCGGACCTGGTGGCTTCCTTTCTCACTTTCCCTCTCTCTCTTTCCTTCTCTATGTCTCTCTCTGGTCAAATTAAAATAAATGAGTGAATAAATAAAATTAAATAAATAATTTTAAAAAATTCGATGAGCAATTGTAACAGGATTGAGAGGGAAGAAACTTGGTCTAGTTATGGTATTGAGAGGCTGGGTCTTTGAGAGGTGGCTAGGAATAGGTAAGGTCATCAAGATGGGGCCTCCATGATTGTAGTTCCGTCAGAAGGGCACAGAGACACACGCCCTCTGTTCTTGCTCTTTCTTGCCACATGATGCCCTGTGCTGCCTCAGGGCTCTGCAGAAAATCCTTACCAATAAAAAGACCTTCACTAGATGCAGCCCCAAACTGTGAGCTAAATAAACCTTTCTTCTTTATAAATTACCCAGACTCAGATATTTCTGTTATTAGCAACCCACAACAAACTAAAATACTACCTGATGAAGAGGGAAGTGTAACAGGAGAGAAGTTAGAGGGGAACTATGGCAGCCTTTATTAACTAAAAAAATTGGGTTCTTTGTTAGACTTTTTTTTTTCTTTGTTAGACTTTTTTAGAGCAGTTTTAGTTTCATAACACCCTTGAGTAAAAAGTGTAGAGATCCCCATCTACTCCCCGTCCCCACACATGCATAGCTTCTCCCATTATCAACCTCCCTCACCAGAATGGCATATTGGTTATAGATGATGAACTCACGTTGACATGTCATTATTACCCAAAGTCCATAGTTTGCATTAGGGTTCATCCTTGGTTTTGTACATTCTATGGGTTTAGACACATTTTTACTGACATGCGTACACCATGATAGTATTGTATAGAGTAGTTTCACTGTCTTAAAGATCACCTGTGCTTCATCTATTTATCCCTCTTTCCCATCGCAGCAACCACTAATTTTATTTACTGTTTCCATAGTTTTCCCTTGAAGTTACTTTTGTACATTTTACAAAAACATATAACCAAGTGATAGGTTAGTAGGCGATAGGTGTCCCATCCCTATCCCCCCAACACACACACACTCCCAGATCTTAATTTGGCCTGACTTTTGCCAACCTCTCAATCTCTGAGCCTGAGAACTTTCCTCACAGATAGATCTGAGGATATATGACATTTGTGAAGTGCCAGAGAATTAATTCACCTTCTTTGTTATGAGTTGGATAATTATCTGCCCTTCAAAGGTTCATATTTAGGAATTTGGTCTTAGTGGCTGGTGATTAGATTTCCCCCAGAAATTCATGTGTTGGGTTGTATTGTAAAGGCATTAAGTGAAAACTTAATTCCTTCATGGTGTCCCAGGGTGGGTGTGATAAAGTCATTAATGTGGGGTTCCCATGATTGAGTTCTGGTGTGTAAATAAGAAGAAATGAGGCAGGCAGAACATGGATGTACACCCTGACCTGCTCAAGATCCTGTCCTCTGCTATGTTGTATACTCTTCAGAAACTAGACCCTTGACCTTAGATCTTCAAGCTATGAGCTGAAGAAACCTCTATTTCTTTACAAATCACCTAGTCTCAGGTAGTACTATTAGCAATGCAGTAATGGACTAAGACATTTCAATAAGTTCCAGAAGTTATCAGCCAATCATTGACTAGAGGTGGGATAAAATATCCCAACACTTTTTCTCCCTTGGTCGAGATAATGATGAGGCACAGGATTCCCTAACAGGACTAAGCTTCTGTTATCCAGAACAGAGAATTTCTTTGGGTGTGTGCATACATGCCCCAAATCCCAGGAGAATGGAGGAGAAGGGATTGTGGCATGGCCATCCTACCCAGGTGTGTGTAATGGGTGATTTCTCACTTTCTCTTTTTCTGTTTCTTTTTCTCTCTGGCCGGTGTATATGCCCTATGGCAAAAACCTAAAAAACGTAAATAAAAAAAAGACATAACATTGTGTCATAAGCTTGACTGTCTGCTTATGGGCTTCCTACTGGAATGTAATTGTTGGGTGCAGGGACTTTGTCTTGTTTATGGCTGCATTCTCAGCATTTGGAGAAGTATTTGCTTGACATGTAGCAGACACACAAAACACATTAAAATATTTTTATTCATTTATCGCTTTGAAGTGAGAGAGACACCTCCAACAGGGTCTTCACATCACATTCTACTCTCAGTCTTAACCAGCTTGGATCAGGGCATACTGAAGTGCCCAGCATGCCCAGGGAGATCTTGCAATGTGACCCCATAACGACCTTTTCCACATGGGTCCAATTGTGTTACTGTTCCAGCACCACCTGGCTCTAAAATCCAGCATAATTAAATTGTTGAATGAATTGCAGACTTTTTAAAATGAAGTTTACATATAAAAATGAACTTCAGGGGCCAGCTGGTGGTGTGGTGCTGTGGCTAGATTTCACATGGAGGACTGCACTATTCAAGTTCCTGACTTGGTGACTTGGAAAACATGCTGGGTGTGTGCACCCCAAATCCCAAAATTAGAAATGGAAGACAAGGAATTGGAGCATGGCCAACCCTCCCACAGGAGGTTCTCTTTCCTTCTCTCTCCCCACTTGGCGAGTGCATGTGCCCTCTGGCAAATTAAAAATTAATAAATAAATAAATAAACCTTAACTGTCAACTTAGTTTTAAATTGTGTTTCTGTTTATTTTATTATTTTTTAATAAATACTATTTTATTATTATTATTTATTTTAATTTGACCAGAGAGGGACAGAGCGAGAGAGAGCAAGAGAGAAAAAAACCAAACCACTAGATCTGGGACTTGAACCATGGTTAGCCATGTGGGAGTCCAGTGCTCTGAACCACCATGCCACCTGCCAACTCCTGTTTATTTTATTCTTAAATAAAATAGTATTTTTAAAAAGATGAGGCATATTTATATTTTTAACAGTCTGTCCTTAGCATACCAACTCCCTAGCATACTTTTATCTAAGCACTCATACGGTATTTTAAATTAGTGAGGTTTTGAAGTGATATTGCAAACAGGCTTTGGTTGTATATTCAGGGCAGGAACTTGTTGATGTTAATATGATTTGACGACCAATGTGTGTCCATGGTAAGACAGGAAGTGGCATAAGGATCTGTGTTCTGTTTTCTGTTTCAAAAGGCTTTACGTGAGCAGTACATGTCATCCATTCATCCATTTGTTTACGAGGCCATTTCATAGGTGACTCCTGCAAAAATCACCTTAAGTTAAACCCTAGTGCAAGAACTCAGAATTATCATCAAAATAAATAGATGAGCAAAAACAGTCCTCCCCTTGAAAGAAATCAAGAAAATCATTTCCAAAAGTACACAAGAAAAAGAAGACATTTGCCTTTCTCATGTAAAATTCAGAGCAAAGAAGGAAAATACCGTTTTCATAAGAGAAAGTGTACATTTGGTCGTAGACAAGACTTTTTTCTTTCCAAAGCTGGAGATATTTTCTGTTGGAACAAATGGACAACTTTGCCTCCGGGCTGAATTTTATAGCTTATGATGGCTGTATGTTGCACCGAACAAACTCGAGATTAACTATAGGGTTGGTGTTCTCAGACAACTACTGTACATTGACCATTTCTCTTACTGTTTTGTGGAGCTCCAGGCCCCATGTCATTAACTTCGGAAAAAAATCACCCCAGAATTTGTTGCTTTTAAAGATAGAAGTTGTTATAATTTGGTAAAAGAGAATGTTCCTACTGCTAGAGCTATGATTTTCAACCTTAGCTGTACATCAGATTCACCTGGAAGTTTAAAAACAAAACACTGTCAACCCATGGCACACAATACGCTGTCCATATTATTGGCAGTTACTGCTTTCGTCGTTAGCCCTTTCAAATTTTTGAATTTATATTCGGCGAGAAAGAGTTCCACATGGAGCAGGCAAATAAACTCAAACAAAGAAGGCATTTTGATTGATGTTCTTTTGCAGCTAATGCACTCTGATAGAGTTTTGAAAAAATGTTTTGAGCTTTGGCATACATGTCTAGCTCGTGTATCCCAAGGCAATGTGTTAATTTAAGTTATCCATTTAGAGGTACAGATTCTAAGAACTTTTGTAAAAAGTTCCTTGCTTTACTGTATAATCAAGCTTGTATACCTAAGACTTGGGAAATGATGGAAATGAGAGTGAGCAACTGCGTAGCTGGAGAGAAAAAAGTGTCTGTCTAATTGACTAGCTAGCTCTACATATTAACTAGTTAATTCAGCAAATATTTAATGATGAACTCTATGGTGCTAGGAGGCAGGAATACCATAGGGAAAAGATGTGGTCTTTGCTCTTAAGTAGCTTACAGTCCGGCGAGCTTAAAGAAGGTGGTATCATCCAATTTCGAGTCACAGAGCAGAGGGATGAAGATGTGATTTGGCCCCACTATCTTCAGTGTTGGGAATTGCCCATCCTACTGTGTATTCAGTCTTCCAGAGGACACTATGACTTTGCTGGGTTGGTCAGATTTGTTTCTCTCAAGGAACTTACTGTTTTGAGAAGGCCAGCTGGTCAATTTATGCATTTGTTTGCTGGAAACATGCCTCTTACCTCACACAGAAAAAGTCAGAAGAGAATTCACAAAGAACTGGTAGTAGATAGGCCCAAGGGTTGGGATTTCCTGCTGTCCTTGGGAGAAACCTGAGTGTGTATCCCCTGACATTTTAAGCTTTCTGTCTTCTTAGTGAGTAATCTGAATGCACTGAATGTCAAATTCAGGTGATATATTCATCTATTTTTTTTTTTTCTTTTTGGAAGTTTCCCAGAGAAGGCTTAAAATGGTGTTTTTATTTCCCTTTGTTTTAAAGTCTCACTAAATTCTTAGTAGCTTCTGGATTGCTTTTAAGTATTTTTAGGTTATGTTAGAAGTGGTGCCAAATTTTACACAAAAGAGGTTCTTTAAAATGCCTAAACATCTAATTTTTATAAATGGAATAATTTTCAGACTGAAAATTTGTAAGATTCCTTTTAGTATTAAAGATATCTAAAAATCTACACCCTAATCTAAGAAGTCTTAATTTTAAGCTTTAATTTACAATGACCTTCCACATTTGAGGCTACCTCTTTCCTGTAGCCTCTCTATTTTGGCTAACTCACAAGAAAGTGACCTTCATGAGCTTCATATCTGATATAGCATTACTGTGACCTTTTAAAAATATTTTTAAAAGTCCTCCCTTTTATTTCCATCAAATATACCCACTCATTTTTATAAGAGAGTTTTACAAGGCTTATGGAAAATGGAATTAAAGTATATTTTGGTGCAAAAATTAAAATCCATGCATAGTTTTTTCATAAAGCACATCTTCATGAACTTTTTGAAGACCCCTCCCCATGTTTGTTTTATAAGATCTAATTTGCTTTCTAAAAACATGGAGTGGGGTGGGCCCAGCTGGTGGTATAATGGCTACATTCCTGGACTCCCACATAGTCAACCATGATTCAAGTCCCGAACCTGGTGGCTTAAAATTCATGCCGGGCATGTATGCGTGTATGCCCAAGATCCTGAGAGGAGAATGGAAGAGAGGGGATTGTGGCATGGCCATCTGCCCAGGGATGATTTCTTGCTTTCTCTCTCTGTCTCTCTGGCGAATGCATGCATCCTATAGAAAAATCTCTTAAAAAACAAACAAACAAACAAACAAACAAAAAAACATGGAGTGGGCAAATCTAAAAGACAGACCCCCAACAGATCACATGCTGGCACCTCACCCCCTGTGTAGTTACTCTTTACTTTGACTGCAATCTGGCTACCCAGTTCCATGTGGAGACTTTAAGAGACCTGGCAGGTTCTGTTTTGTTTTCTCTTGAGACATTTGCTTTTGCCATCCCTGGGCCAAAATGAAAGAAAATTTACTATTGTGCTGCAGAGACCATGTGAAGAGACACTGAGACCTTATGGAGAGGGGACAAGCTCCAGCTTTTTCAATGTCCTGGTCGAGTTTCCAGATGACTCTAGTCCTAGCTGCTATCTGATTTCAACTACATGGAAGATTTCAAAAGACTCCAGCAAAAAAACCACCTAGCTGAGCCCTGCAATCTATAGAAAAGTAGGGCAAAATGGCTGTTATTTAAGCCTCTAAATTTTGAGACAGTTACTTAAGTAGCAATAGTTAAAAACATACATGACAAACTTGTAAGACTCCAGATGATGCTTTTTCCTTTTTACCAAAATGAATTGCCTTCCTCAAAAATGTTAACATGAAAAATTTTCACAGAGAAGAAAGCCTTCATTGCACTCAGAACCCAGGTTGGCAAATAGTTCTTATTCTCGATCAAAAAACTCATCAAAAAGTAGAATTTTCTCTGTCCTGGTCCTCACCAGTGTGTGTGGTTTCTTCTCATCTTTCCCCAACTCCTCTGAGTCAGAGCTCGAACTGTCCCAGAGAAGTTGTCCTTGGTCCTCTTGTACAGGGAACCAGGTATCCATCTTGCCAATTTTCTGAGGACATAAGACATTCCTTGCTCGATGGTCCAAAAATTTTGCATTCTGTGAATTTTCTACAGAAAAAAAAAATCATTTAATTTTTCCCCCTAATTATATTTTTTTTCATTGAGTGCCAAGCTTTTTGTAAACACAGAACGACGTTCTTCATATTTCTTTGAAAACAAAATACATTTCAACTGGTATCTCTGTACATTAAGCATTTTTTAGTTATTTAAATTTTTAAAAGTTTTTCTGAAAATCACAAAAATAGAATACACACTTACATACCCAACACATCATTTTACAGCAGTATTGTTTTTGTCAAATATATGTTTTCCAGCTGAATCATTTGAGAATTAGTTGCAAAGTCATCTTCTTCCTAAATAAGTCACCACAGGTTTCTTTTCCTTTCTTTCTTTTTTCTATTGGGTGTATATGCTCACGGAAGACAAACAGAGATGGAGAGAGAGAAACAGAGCAATCATCCCTCAGGGGAATGGCCATGCCGCAATCCCTTCTTACCCATTTTCCTCTCGGACTTTTGGGCATGCATGCATACGCATCAGGTGTGAGTTTCAAGCTGCCAGGTCTAGGAATCGAACAGGGATTGACCACATGGGAGTCTAGTACCTTAACCACTACTCTATCTGCTGGCCTCATTATTATCAAGTTAGTTTCCTTTCTTAGTGGGGAGCTAACCTGTCTTCCCCTAGATTACTGTTACAGTAATTGTCTGTAGCACTGACAAATAACTGTAGTGAGTTTGTCTGCAACCTTGATCTCTCTCCTGAGCTACAATAGACTTCCTGTAAAACTGGACTCCTCCATTTTGACATCTACCTGGCACTATGTCAGCTTCACCTTTTCTTTTTCCTCAGACTTGCTTCTGCTCCCCACTACCCTAATCCAGCAGCCAGTGCTGGCCTTTCCCCATTAGTCTATCTAGTTCTTGAAGAGACCCAAGAATCCACCTGTCTCTATGCTCTCTCCATTCACTCACATCTAATCCATTACCAAGTTCTGCTGATTTTGTTTCCCAGATATCTTGTATCTGACTCCTTCTCTCCCTCCTTATCATCATCCTACTCTCTTGGCCCACACTCAATCTCACTCACACTATTGCCATGTTCTTATAACTGATCTCCCCATACTCTTTTCAGTACCCCTCCCAATCATTCTTCATAGACAAGTATTTAAAAAAATTTTATTGAAGAGGTTTTTGCTGTAGGGCACATGCTCTCGCCAGAGAGAGACACACACACAGAGACAATGAGAAGGAAAGTGAGAAATCACCCCCCAGGGTAGATGGCCATATTGCCATCCCTTATCTTCCATTCTCTTGCTGGGATCTTGGGCACACATGCACATTCACCTGACATGAGTTTCAGAACTTGGTCCATGTGGGACCAGGTCCAGAACTTGAGCCATGTGGGAATCCAGCAACGTAACTGCTATGCCATCTGTTGGTTCCCATAGAGTGGTATTTTAAAATATAAGCCGATGGTGCTACTACCCTGCCATATCAATGGCTTCCCATTGGTCTTAAGATAGAGTTCCAAGTCCTTATTGGACATGACTTACAAGACCCTGTGTGATCTGGCCCAGACTATGTCTCCAGAAACATCTCTAGTCACTCTCTGAATCTCTCTTCTCCACCCAGTGCCTACAATCCACTGCTCTTGTTCCCACTACAGGGCTTTTGTACAATATTAATTATAGTTTGGAATGTTCCAGCACTCTGTACTCCTGCTACTTCTTGTCTCAACTTACGTGTCATTTTGTAGGTTATTAGATCTGGTAGTTATATTATTGAACATCTCCTTGCCCATTGTCCGTTCTGCTATGTAAGTACTCCTCAAGTAAGAAACCACATCAAGCCACCTCATTATCACATGGAGAATCTACCACACAATGCCTGACACCTGGTCAATGCTCAGTAAGTATCTGCACGGTGAGGAAATGAATAAATGAGTGAACAAATGAACAATGGGAGAATTTTGGGAGGTGGGACATATTGATTATTAGAACCCAGGAAAGATTTCATTCATTGGGCTTCAGGGCGTCAGTCAGTTTCACTCTGCCGATGAGCCAGAAACTATCACTTATACTGAAAACAAAAATTTTCTGTAACATCCAATTAGAGTCAGGAGCTTTGAAACAGGAAGAGAATGTTTGTTAGGGGTGGGATCTAATGCAATATTAACAATAGCTTAGATCCCACAATACTCTTGGCATTATGATAATTCAGGTCTAAAGTTAGTGTGTGAGGCATATTCATGTTTAGTTTTATCCTTGGAAATCAATTCCTAAAGTATTCTTTAGGGCTACAGATTTAGATCTCCATGTCACTCATAAAGATGTCTGCCATTTCCTTCGTCTAATCTGCTGGGTCCAGGACTCAAACTGTGCCGTCTACCATGTAGGATACAGTTACCTTAACTTCCATGCCACCTACTGGTCCATTAACAAAGTACTATATACATAACTTTATATAGACAGCTTAAAGTCTGAGAAATCTGAGCTAGAGGTCTTATTACTTGTTAATTTTTTTTTCCTGCTTTTCAGCTTATTTTATATAAGAAACAAGTTTTGGGTAAAGTACACTAGAGAGTGCTGTAAATTTCTTTACATCCTAAAGGGGCAAACTGCTAGGAATAATAGATTTTTACCTTTTGTTTTTTAACCATCTTTCCCATTATTATTTTTAAATTAAATTAAATTAAATTTTAATTTCTATTATACATTCAGTCATGTATGTCACTTAGCTTGTAAAGTGAATGTTTCAACATGAATACATTTCTCGCCAGTCCAGCTGGGGAGACTATACATGTTATCATCAACAAATAATAACCCATTTCTTTGTCCCATGAATGTCTTGCCTCTCTGTTTTACTCCTTAATATCTTTCCTCAGACTCTCTTCCTTCTACCCCCTTCCCATACTGTGTCTGGTATCTATAACCATTTTCTATGTTTCTAAATCCTCTAGTCATTCAGTTTTAGCCATACAGTGCGGACAGTCAGTTTATATTAAGTGGAGACATACAATGTCTCTCCTTCATAGCCTGACTGGCTTCACTCAGCAGTAAATCTTCTGTATTCATCCGCTTTCTATCAAAAGCCAGGGTATTATTTATTTATTGTTTTTTTTGGGGTGGCTGAGTAGTATTTAATAGAGTATATGTGCCGTACTTCTTCAATCCATTCCTTTGTTCATGGACATTTGGGCTGTTTCTATGCCTTAGCAATGGTGAATAATACTGCAATAAACATAGATGTGCAAACACTTTTTCGACTAAGCATTCTCCTGTCCTTTGGGTAGATATCAAGGACTGGGATTGCTGGATTGTATGGTTGTTCTATTTGTAGATCTTTGAGGAACCTCCGTATTGTTCTTCACAGGTGACTGGACCAATTTACATTCCCACCATCAATGTAGGAGAATTCCCCTTTCGCCACATCCTGCTAGCACTTATCTTTTTATTTATTTATTTTTAAGTATTAGTCATTCTGACTGGGCTTAGGTGGTATCTCATTGTGGTTTTGATCTGCGTCTCCCTGATGATGAGAGATGTTGAGCACTTTTTCATATATCTTTTGGCTGTTTGTATGTCTTCCTTAGAGAGTTGTTTTTTCAGCTCATTCTCCCATCTTTTTTTTTTTTTTAAAGACGTTTTTGCTATAGGGCACGAGTGCTTGACAGAAAGATAGAGACAGAGAGACAGTAGGCGAAAAACCATCCACCCCCCAGGGGGCATGGCCACGCCACAATCCCTTCTCTTCCATTCTCCTCTCAGGATCTTGGGCACGCATGCACACACACCTGGCATGAGTTTAAGCCACTGGGTCTGGGACTCAAACTGTGGTTGGCTACATGGGAGTCCAGCGATGCAGCCATTATGCCATCTGCTGATTCCATCTCCCATCTTTTAAATGGGGTAATCATCTTTTTTTGGGTAAATCACTTGAATTCCCTGTGTATTCTGGTTATCAGTCCTTTATCTGAAGGATAGTTTACAAAAATATTCTCCCACTCTTTTTTTTTTTTTGGAGAGGTTTTCGCTATAGGGTGTGTGCGCTCGCCAGACAGACAGAGAGAAACATAGAGACAGAAAGCGAGAAATCACCCCCCAGGGGGGATGGTCACGCCGCAATCCCTTCTCCTCCACTCTCCTCTCGGGATCTTGGGCACGCACGCACACGCGCCCGGCGTGAGTTTTAAGCCACTGGGTCCGGAACGCAAACTGCGATCGACTACGTGGGAGTCCAGTGACATAGCCATTACGCTAACTGCTGGTTCCCAAAAATATTCTCCCATTCTGAGGGCTGTTGATTCACAATAATTACTGTCTTTTCCCATGCAGAAACTTCTTAATCTGATGTAATCCCACTTGTCTATTTGTGAGATTATTGACTGTGCTTTGGGGGTCTTATTTAAGAAGAATATGTGTACTCCAGTCTTTGCCTACTGTCTCCCAGAGTTTCCCCAGTGTTTTCCACCAGTAGTTTTATATATTGAGGACTGAAGTTTAGATCTTTGATCCACTTTGAGTTGATTTTTGTCAATGATGAGAGGTAGGGGTTTAGATTCACCTTTCCACAGGTGGATATCCAATTTTTCTAGCACCATTTGCTAAAGAGACTTTCCTTTTCTCACTGGGTTGACTGGTACTATTTGTCAAAAATCAGTTGACTATATGTTTGGGTTTATTTCTGGGGTCTCTATTCTGTTCCATTGATACACATATCTGTTTTTGTGCCAACACCATGCAGTTTTGATTATCATGGCTTTATACTATATTTTCAGGTCAAGGAGTGAGATGCTGTCCACGTTATTCTTCTTGTGCAATCTTGATTTGGCAATACAAAGTCTTTTATGATTCCAGACAAATTCTATCATTGTTTTTTCTAGATCTGTGAAGAATGTCTCTGGTACTTTGATTAGGATTGTGTTAAATATGTAGATTGATTTGGGTAGAATTGCCATTTTGATTATATGAATTTTTCCAATCCAGAAACATGGGATGTCCTTCCACTTTTTTGTGTCATTTTCAATTTATTTTTTAGACTCTCATA